AAAGAACAAACGCTGACACGATCATTAAAATACTCTCCATCTAAAACTCGATTTTAAATGGGATATAGTGAGTGACATATTAACACGTCGACTCTAAATATATGTTAATAGGGTATTTCAAGCTGCCAAATTACACATAATCTTCTCAACCAAACATGTACTTACATAACAAATCAAGGATAGATTACCAATGATGGGCTCCTACATGTGTATATACCAATTTTACTGCTATTGTGGAGCTAGTTACATAGACCTTATTTAGAGGGCTTTATGCTTGCGTACTCGTGCATATGTACCAGCATGGTTTGGAAAAGGAATCACCTAGTCTATTAACAACCCTATCCTTTCTCACTTGATAGATAGTGAACATCATAATAAAATGGATGAAGCTTTCTCTATTTTTATATCATCATCATCGTTACTCTTATTGTTATTATTACATTGATTAACAAGTCGAAATTCTCCTACTATGCGTTTTATTGATTTTTACTATGAATCGTTTTGACCTTTATTGAATGATCTTTCTAATTTACAAATAACACAATTTTGAAGTATTTCTGTTGTATCAATTGCTAAATTTCACCATTTTTTAACATATAACATAGTCAAATTTATTAATGAATGCCTTATTCTAGCCTTTGTAAAATATCACAATAATTATGAACTTATATCTGTTGGCTTGATGATGAATTTGTTGAAAACAATTGTTCGCTCAAATATTTCTTTGTTTTGAATATTCTATGGAGATTTTTAAATCATTGAATATGTTAAGACAGTCTTCACTTTCTCCGTTTTTAACTTTATTATTATTATTATTATTATTATTATTATTATTATTATTATTATTATTATTATTATTATTATTATTATTATTATCTGTTTATCTTGATCATAACAACATTGCTACTGGTAATAATGACAAAGTTGTGTTTTTGTTTGTTACTAATATTGTTGTTTGTATTTTTTAGGTGCTAATTAATTCTTTTAATTTGTTTTAATTGTAAAATATTTTTTTCTAATGATGAAGTCGTTGACATGTCTTCTGATTAACTAGTTAGCTGGCTAGTTAGTTGTTCGTCTTCTTTTCATTTTTACTTGTTCTCATTCTTGTTTTTGTCTCATGTATTTTCATTTTCTTTCTTTTAAGTAAATACACGAATGTGCCTATTTCTTTAGGTAGACATGTATGCTTGTACGTTTGTGTTGACATACTCAATCGTTATGAGCTATTTTTTTATTATACAATAAATAAACAATTGTTTTATATAAACCTTCTTTTGTCGTCGCTATTTGGTTTTTTCCTTTTAAAAAAGACGGCTTCGTTAGTAAAAAAGACTAATAAAAGAAAGCAGTCGTTGACGCATTCGTCAGTTATTTCTCATGGTCATTGTTTAATTATTTAGCTATCTTATTATTGTTAATTAATTGTTTTCATGGTTACTTATTTCGATATTATCCCCTTCCTTTTGTTCTAGTAAACAGTTTCTGAACTATGCACTATAATAGTAATTATTATTGTTTTTATTACTGAAATTAGAAAGCAATACAGCGAGGGTGACAACATAAAGGTGAAGCAAAAATTCTTTTTTATAACTAATATGTATATATATATATATATATTATAAAGGAATAGGCTATATTTTTTCCGTTTGTACGGTAACTAATCTAACAGCGCGTGCATAGTAGAGATAACCATACATACATGTTATACATTGAATCGGCCAGATAAAATAAAATTTGGAAAAATATATGAAAAATTTGTTTTCTTATTAACTTTTCATTTTCTTCACTAACTTAATTAACCATAACCTTAAAGTGTTATCACACTTATCTTAGTTATCTCTTAATTTTGTGGAAAATAAGTTGATATTAATTGCTTAGTATCCTACCCATTACATCTTAAAACATTGTAGATTAGAGATAATGTGTTGTATATATGTGTGTGTTCTCCTAACATCCTACAACCATTTTCATTACTGACCTACTTTAATTATAAATAAACATTAAAAATAGAATTAATAGATTCAGTGAAATTGGTGGTTCGACCAAATCGTTTATATGAGTTTGTAATACTCTTTGGACTATAAATTCAGATTCCTGTAGTCTATATTATCAAACTTAATTCATGGCATCAATTTTAAATTCTAAAAAATTCAACATCTATGGAATTTGATAGAAGTACTAGTTTTTTTTTCACAAGTATAATTATAGTTTGACTATTAAATTTAGGATGCACCTTTTTTATGATAATTTTATTTACTTCTATTATATAAAACGATATATTAAGCTTAATAATAAAATTGTTATTTGTTTGAAAATTGTAAACAAGCAATAGCACATAATGTCTATATTAAATTTCATGTTTACCTTGAAATATCACTCAAAGATGGACACTGAAAAATGGTATACTTTGTTAAATGTTTCGTGTAATTTTTCAAAATTTATATCGTATTAATTATTTTTTTAAACATGCAGAATATTACTATGGATGCTGTCATCATTATTATTATCATGGTTAAGTGAGGAGATTAGTTTTTTGTATACTGTTTATGAGTATTTTATAATAGTTGGTATCCAATGTACTCATCAGATGTTAGTATGATGTCTGCATAAATGTTGGACGAAAGTGGATTCTTGAAAGGGCCGTTTCTGAAGTTATTCTTTATATAATTAATAAATAATTAAACTATTATGTTTTTGCATTCTTCTACTTGTAAACCTTTGTTTGATACAAATCATTGTAGTATGTTTTGCCTTTCCCAAAATACCATTGATGTATTATGGATCTGTTACTCAGTTCTCTTCGGTTTGTGATGTGATTGTGCTCGTATTTTGAATTCTTAATGCATTTAATGTGTGATCAGGATTTCATTCCATATTGTTGTATGAGTAATTCATACATTTGAACAGCATAATTCAACGTTATCTGCTTGTTGAGTTCTCTATCTTGGTTATCGGGCCAGCGAGTGTGGTGAAAATGCTTTCTGAACAAATAGTCACTTGGTACTAGCCGCGGCCGTTATCTCACGTTTAGAGTGTCATTGGTTAACTGAAGGTTATTGGTACTAGATCGACGGTGTAGGCAGGCTAATAAATACTCTGACATATCAACACAACTGCTCTCTTGTCTTACGGTCCAATCTCACGGGCCCTACGTGAATTAAACAAGAAATCTTTTTATTTTCACTGACACTGTAGTGAACAGAACACGGGTGGGGATAATCAAATGTATTTAAAAACACAATTGTATGAACGAAGAATATTCTTTTCAATCATTTCTCATCAGGTTCTACAATTATAAATCCAAATTAATAACCCATAAAATTGGCCTGATTTAAGGCAAAATACATCATTTGGAAATTGTAATATGTGAATCAGGAATTGTTTGTTATATAAATAGTTGTAGTTTAGCTGCGTTAAAAGTCCTTTGGATTGATCTACTTAACTTAAGTCTTAACATTTCACTCGGCGCGTCGCCTCTGAATTGTAAGCGTATATATAGAGGCTTTCTATTTACCGTTGGACATTCTCTACGCTGTCTTTTATTAGCTAAGTTTTTATTTATAAATTTCTCTGGATATCCATTTTCTTTCAGGGTTGTAAACAATATCTTTGTTTCATCTTCAATCGTATCCATAGTGCATATAGTCTTGATTCTATGATGTAGTGTCTTGATAAGGTTCCTTTTTTTGTTGTAGAGGAACGAAACTGAAAAAGTTAGTATATTGACCCGTCCAGGTCATTTTCCTGTTTATGTTTCTTTTTAGCGATCCATCTTTTCTCCTTTTCAAACCTATAACCTCGATATCTGTAAAGTTAATGTTGTTTTAACTACTTCGTCATTATCCAATCAAATTTTAATTTATTCATTAAACAACTAAATTCTGATTTAATACATTTTAACTGAAAGATGTAAGCTATTTCTCTAATATTTTTTACATCTTCATTTGTTTCTACATAAAATTTCAATTTTGTATATTCTATCATTTTGTTGCCATTTTCGTCATCATCAATGTATATTCCATATATCATACTTGTTTTTTCTCGTGTTTAGCGGTCATTTTAATTCAGTAAAATTAATTCTGTTGATTAGTAGTATATCTTATGTTACAGTACTTATTGTGATACCCTTCCCTCCCACTACGAAAGAAAAAGACTGATGATTAGTTTCTACAATGTAATCGGTTTAGAAAACGAATACGTCTGACATATAGATCTGTGTTTACTTTATGAGTCTTTTGTTTTGTTTCGTTGATTATTTACACTCGTGATGTTCTGTTTTAACAATACTGTTAGTGATAGTGCTAGTTGTTGATTATTAACTATATCCACTTTTCGTTAATTAATTCGCAGAACAACAACTATTTATTATTATTGATAAACGTGAAAATGTGTGTTTTCTTTTAATCTTTTCTGTCACAATGTCTTATTTTCTCTAATTTGAATAATGGACATAGTAACTGTTAGAATAAAACTTGTTTCTTTCTTTTGCTTTCCTTAAAAAGAAATCTACCCTTTCTAGTAATTAATAAATTTGAAAATATAGGCATTTTGTCATGCAGTTTTTTTTCTATTAACTGTTGTTTTTGCTATTTTTCGTGTTCTTTTTCTCCTTCCCGTTTGTGTCACGGCTGTTATTATTGTGCTTTGTGAAGAATGGTAATGACTATAATGGTTGTAGTGCTTTACTTCTCTTTATTACATTTAAACTCACAGATAGTTTAAGTCAGTCTCTTTTAAAAAATCTTTCTATTTTTCATAGACGAAAAAAGGCGAAACCATCACTGTTTTTTTTATGTTTTAAAAAATTACACACATTTTTTTTGCTAGTTTCCAATTACCTTTTTGCATCTTCATTTTTGAAGGGATGTTGTCAAAATGATCAAAAAACAAACAAACATACTAACACAACAGAATACATAGCAACTAATAGTGTGTTTTATTTATTAAAATACAAATACTAGTCATTAACCGGTGTTTAATTTGTTTTTTTTTATTAGGTGATGTTTATAATTGAGATACAGTCAAAACACAATACCTCGTAACCACTTCACTGGTTTTGGTGATCTAATGTAAGAATCATTACAGAAAGCATATTTAGGTTTTTCTCACTTGGATCCACATCCAACGAAAACTAGTGCCATTTTTCTCTACCGAAATGGCCGAGTATATTTCGTATTGGTTTTTTATGCATTATTTCATAGTTGTGAATCGTGTTTCTAATGTTTGTTGATAAGTGTAAGTTGATGAACTCTCATCACCCATTTCATCAAAAGATTCATCACATATGATAAAGTTACTAAGTAATATTGAGATCAGGCATAGAACTGGTTGATGTAACTCAACGCTCATCGATTGAAATGATTAAAACATATATTCTGTGTATCCTATCATAACCTACTCGATGCGCAGTATTGTATAAATTAAATGTACGTTGAATGAAGGCTAAAAAACTCTAAAGAAAAATACCATCATTTCTTGCAGTCATTGATTTTTGAGTCGAGTTATTTTTGTAGCTTTAAGATCCCTGGTTGACATGTACAACACAGTTAGTGTCTGTTGTTGACCTAGTTCAAAATCAATCACAATAGCACAGATTTATTCGTTTTTTGATCATCTTGTAAATCATGAATTCAAATCTTATTTCAGTTATCGATATTTATGTATTTACTGTTCAATAAATTCAGTAGCTTACTTTTCATTTGAAATGGTAATATTGTATTACTCATTTACCAAATTTAGATTTATGTGCTCAACTTTGAGTCACATTTTCTTTGTAAAGCTTGTTGATATTGTCTAGTTTCTGTTAAGTAGACCCAGAATATTCCTCGAAAAAAGCCCAAAGGGTATATGCAAACGTTGGGAAACGTTTCATCCAATCAGCATCGAATGAAAGTTTCTCAGAAACATCTAGGAAGTGAAGAGTCACGTGTCACATTTCTGGTTGGACGATTACCTATCACGCCACTATTTTTAGTAGAGTTCCAGAAGCAAAGCGTTCTTTTCATATTTCGCGCGTTTTCTCTCGCGTTGAAGTGTTCGTGTTAATTTAGCCTGAGGTTATCAGAAGAACTTAGGAAACTGATTCAAGCGTTCAGACAGAATATTTATCAAATTCTCAGTCTGGAAAATACGTAGCAGATTTCAGACCTGTGGACTTTGATCATTAAGCTATTTGTCAGTTTAAAACAAACTAATCCATAAGTGTTTATCGCACAAAAATGACTTTCATGTCAACGAATAAATTGTTTCAAATTAAATTGTTTTTCTATCCTAATTTAGTCAATCAAAATTACTGCAAATGATGTGTATTGTGCTAAATCCCATTTACACGATAACTTCAACATAGAAAAATAATCTTTTGACATTATCTTTGAAGTCAAAAACACACTTTAATCAACCGATTATATCTAACGTAGAGCCTGATACATATATATCGGTTCAAGTTGCTTTACTACATTAGCACAGAGAGATGACATTTTCTCAACTCATATTCCGAAGTAATAGACGTAACCATATCAGTAGTAGAAGAAAAGATTACGTATAGAAAGAAACATGTAAGGAGATTCCCAGGCTCATTCTAAAAGAAAATGAGAAGTGAATGTATATGTGTCATTGTGAACTTTCCCGAGCTATGTCACCTATTCTTGAACCATTGCTTACGGTAATCACGCGTACGCCAACACATGATTGAACACTAGCAATCTATTGATGTCCTCTATTCTTAATGGCCACGTTTTATGCCCATAAAGTAAAATGAGGCGAAGTGCTTCACAGGAAGTTCCTCCTTTTGTTGATAGACAGATATCTTGTCTACACCACAAACGCTAGTCAAGCTTTCTGAATCGGTGCCGAGATTTTGTTAAATATCAACTGACATGAACTAAGTGAAGTGGTCGATATTCTCAGCTACTTCTCTCCTTATGATTAATTTAGGCCACAGTGTACCCCAATTCAAAAGAATTGTATCATGAATCTTCTAAACGTCTAAAACCATTCACTTTGATTAGACTTAATTTAAATTTTATCTCTTTTGGTTTTTAACGTTGCGTATGCCATTCTTAACCTTGAATTTCAAGATATTCATGACTAACAATATTTGTTTACATCCTAATTGTCTTCAATTCAGTTCTTCATCTGTGACGAATTAGTTGAACGATTTATTTAAGAAAAAATTAAGTCTATTTCATCTCAATCCATAAAAGCTAATTAAGCGACTCAATATGGTAAAAATATCATAATAATACATTATATATAATGAATTTTGAGACATTAAGTATGAAGAAATATTGCTATATGAATCTAAGCGATACTCTTGTTGTCCATTACCATTATTATTATTGTTTATCTGTATTCTCTCCCTTTTCTTTTTAATCAAAAAATAAGATTTCTTGGAAAAGACATTGATAATTACTTGAAAGCTGCCTTATTTTCATTTTTATCACTGGAGAATGTGCTGTCTCTCTTTCTCCTTTCTACTCCTAGCACCTCTTTCCCTCTCTACTCACTTCTTTACACTTTCTAAGGTACAGATTTGTTTCTTCATTGTTTAATTTCTTGCCTTGTCAATAAAAATATGAAACGAAAAAAATAATTAAGTGTCCATATTTGGGAGAATCTGTTTTTTCTATGCTATTAAGTAATGTTTGTTCTGTATTTCTTCCCTGTTCTGTTTATTCTTAGGCATTTGATAACTTTATCTCTTTTACTCACACATACACTTATCCACATAATTACATTATATCCCTATTTTGCTTACAAATATTCCATTGATTTTTGATCTTGTTTAAGTAAGCAGTCTTAGTAATACTGAGTAATTTCAACTAACTACTGTTTGACTTGCTTTATATATATATATATATATATATACTATTTATTTCCAACCATATCGTTTGTCCATGTTCTGACATGATTTTTTGATCATCATTGTCTCTATGAGTGAATAAGTGTATAAATGTTTATAGATCTGTGCGTACATACATCTTTGGTATGACGTTTTAAAGCTTTTTGCATAATTGTTTTTTTTCTACATTTAGTACTTTACATTGAGAGATAGATGATTTGATTTATGAATCGATTGTTACTGTCCTTCATATTTATAACTATTTCTAATATGCTGATGATAAGAATGATTAGCTATCTGAAAGAATTAATGTCTTTCTATATATATATATATGACTATATTACATGTATCTATTTGTCTGAGATGATTTATTTGCTTTTTCGAGTGAAGACTGATTTTTTAATCCCGTTTCTTACTTTTGCTCATTTATGTATCAATATATGGCTTTTTGTCTCTTAGTAACTCGTGATATAAATATGCATATTGCTTTTATTTAGGGTACATCTTATACTGTTCTATAATGTTCATTATTCAGTGGATAATTACCATAAAGGGGTTGTTAATGTTCTTTTCCTTTATCTATTTTTTGAAATGGATAATGAAAAGAAAAGATGAAAAACATTTCGTATTCAGCATTACATTTCTGTGTATTATTGTTCACAAGACTGGATACAAAACACAAATTCAATCATTGAAAGGAAAATTTATTAAAAATTCGGAATAAATAGATAAATGAATAAAACAAAGAAACATTATACAATATCTAAATGAATTGGTTTATTAGTTTGTGTTTTGATTAGATTTTGAGAAAGCTTGATCAAATTGATAATAGAAAAATATGAGATTTATGCTTACAGACTCAGTTTATAATCCATTGTTAACCAAGAAACTGGACATATCAGTACTAAATATTTACAACTAATTAATTTAGAACAACATATATAAGCGAACAATATTGTTTTCGATTAGATCCTCATCAGGCTTTACTCTAATATACAGTAATATTTATATGCATATACGAAATTATTAAACCAATCAAGGTAGTTTATAAGTCAATGATAACAATGGAAAAGATTACATAATAAGTAAAATGTGAAAAGTACAAATTGATGGTGTGACAACAGGTGCATTATTTTTTGATAAGCAATAATAATAAAGGTTCAAATCAATGTTACATAATCTGAAATAGGTCAATGATTCGAAAAATATAGAAACTGAGATAACAATTATAAAATTATAAGATGACGTAATAAGAAAATGTTCAGATAATTGGACCATGAAACGTATAGTTGAGAGAAAATAAAGTGGTAGGAGGGTGTGAAGAAAAAAATAATAAACGAAGAGAATAAATAAATACATTCATTTATTACTTAAGGCCAAGGGAGAGATAAGGGAGTTACAAATTTCTTCTGGACACAAAGACTTGGCTTGTTGGCTCGGATTCCTATATCTTCTGCTATGCGTAAGAGACGAGATCGAACACCATAAGGGAAAACTAGTGGGAATCCGATAAATAACTTTGAACGACTTGTTTCTGTCCACTATATGACCGCTATCGATCAAGTGTGATAGAACCGAGCTGCGTATTGTTTTGACGTAGCCTTTTCCTAACCACGAAGGGAGGTGTTCACTAACTCGTTGGTTCAGTTGCCTGGTAGTGCGCCCGATATAGTTTTCTCCACAGAAGCAGCTGAATTCGTAGATACACATAGAAGTGGCATAACCAGGTAACTTATCCTTCAATTGCGGAATCACCATCGGTCGGGTCGAATACGATAGGCGGAGGTTGGCAGCATTAAACGTTCTCTTTACTGATCTAGTCAATCTATCCCGTAATACATCGCTAGCCAAATCACCATTGAATTGCAGTTTCAAGAAAAGCGGTTTCTTATTAGCGAAACTAGAAAACGGACCTCTCAAGGAGGTTATCAATAAACTGGATTTCTACTGTCGTTACGTTGATGACACCTTCATCATTGCCGATCAGAACCTTAGAAAAGAACAACTACTGGAACTATTTAATAACAAACATCCTGCTATTAAATTTACATGTGAGGAGGAAATATATAACAAACTAAGTTTTCTGGACCTTTTGTTAAGTAGAAAAGAAGATGGTTCTATCAGGTTCTATCTATGAACTTGATCTTAACTAATTGATTCAGAGTAATTGAAATTTTTCACAGAATCTACTGTTGCTTAGTATAGTAGCCTTGACCTCCAAATTATAGTTTAAATCTCCCTCTGTATGCTTAAGTTCCAGCAATCGCGTAGTAGCACCAGCTTTTACACATCTACTATCCTTCGAAATTAAGTACATAAACTAGTACTTCTAAATTAGTTAGATTTCTCAATTGGTTTAAGGTTATTTCTTAGAGAATTATTTGTTTTCTTGTCAATTAATTTGATATCATATTCATTAGAAAATTTAGGTTTATATTACCAATATTCAATCCAATAATTAACTAACTTGTCCTCTATTCTGTATTTAGTTGTTAACATTTAATCATTTGATGATACGTTCCTATTGCCTGTTTCAATTGTCCATCCGATGTTTTGATTCCTTACAAAATATACAGTTCACATAATGGGATAAATGACTTTTTTGTCTTCTACACATCATCATAGAGATTGTACCATTCAACACTGAAAACTTAGGACAATATTCATTGACTTATAATAAAGGTTCATTATGCACATTCAAAGTAACTCATGATTTTTTTTAAGCTTTTTCTGTCAATATAATGATACACTAGAAAGGATAACTGTTATTAATAAAATGTTACATTTCCAGTCCATTTCTAGAATTGCATATTCTTTAATATCTGACTTAGACTTTATTTTTGTTAATATTACTACTTTTCGTCTGATTGAAGAACTAACTGTTGAAATAGTCCAGTAAAGAAACGTGATATTATGCATTTCTATATTACATCCATAAAATTTCATTGAGGAACTATTACCTGTAGTAGTTCTGTGTTCTTTGCACCAGATGATTTAATTGCACAACGTTGGTTGTTAGTCTAAACTATATCTGTAGCGCTTACATCATGTTAAGTTGAACTTTTATCACTTTATTATGATAATCTTGTCGATAATTGATTGCCTTCGTAGATTTTATTGCACTGATTTATTCTTTCATCCATATCGAATGTCTTTGTATGTTAACATCTAGTCTTGTGATTGCTTGACCTCTTTTGTATAAAGTTTCTTCAATTAAGTCGTTTAATTCAAAATACATAACACCACCAAAACTATCCACCTTAACTGCAAATCTTCATCATATCAAGCACTATTACTGTTATCATTAGGCTAATAAATTAACTCTGTTAGTTGATTAGTTGCTTTTTTCTTTTCGTCAAGCTCAATAATTTATTTTTGTTAAATGAACGTAGATCGCTTCACGATTTCAATGAATACCAACAATCTTCGTAACCCCATACTGATAATTTAATTGTCTTTTGTGGTAGTGTCTAACAATAGATCGTATTTTAACAAGAAAGTCTTTTATTTGAATATGTGTTTATTTACTATTCCTTCAACATGGTATAAAAGATTTTAATAGTAAAGATATACATTTGTTTTCTTTTTTAATGTATTCCGTATCAGTTTTGATATTATTGATAATCGTTGTACCTCAGTACTCTCTTTCATATCATATACTCAAAGTTCTTTAGGAAAGGGATGATATAAATGAATTTGTTGGATATAACAAGGAATTATTGCTTAGATGGAGAATAATTAACAATATTGTAGAATACCTTCTATGTTTCTTAAGATTCTTTTTTCTGACGAAGATAATTTTATGCAGTTTAAAATTAAATAGATTTTGCACACACTAATTTCTTGTATTATTAATTAGAAGTTAGTCTATTATAATCAAAGTAGAGCCTGGCACCAATATGTGTTAGTTCATAAATACCATATTAACACGATGAGGTGAATAGCGAAAGAATCAAAATGATTTAGTAACAATAGTCATGAGAAAGAAAAAAAATTGAAAATATGATTTGAAAAGTTTAAATAAAAAGGTAGTTATAGAAGAACCAAGGTAAAAATTGAATGTATCTGTTCTACTGTGGTCGTTTTTGAATCCTTTTAGCTAACGTCTCCAACTACTTATCATGTTTATCAAACGAACAACAAACATATAGTGAGGTTACTTGATATATATTTTCTTTAACACGATTTGTTTATGGAGATTAGTTAGATTTGAATGAGAATATTTTTCGTCATAGACTAATGTTAGCCATTAAGAAAACTTAGGACATATATTTCAAAATAGCTTTAACTATTCAGTAACACCTACCCAATAGAAGTGACCCTAAGCTTTCATGATTAACACGATACATATAGTGACTACTAAGCAAAAATCCAACAGTCTACGTTTTCGGTTTTATTCGATTCATGGTATTGTACAGCGATCACCCAATACTATTGAAGGAGGCATCCATCCATTTGGGGCAGTCTCTGGTATGATACCACGTTTATTGTGATTTTCAGAGGTATTTTTCATCACAGGTCAAAAACTTGAAAACCTTCGAGAAATCATTTCCCTAACATTTCGTGACATTTTTTTATGACGTGCACAGTCTTTGATGAAAATGCCCAATGTATTTCATTTTAGATTGATTTTCTGCCTTATTTTAGATTGTCAAAATGGTCATACACTTTATTGGTTTAGATACAACCAAAAGTCACCAATCAATGTCATCTACCGTGCAATTTTAAGCAAACTTGATAACATACCCTTCTGATTTTAGTACTTACGCAATTTACGCTAACATACTCTACTGTGCGTAATGTACACATAGTTGAATGAATGTGCGAGCTAAATACTCTAGGTTCGTTATCATAGGCATAAACAAACCGAACGACAAGTTTCGTTGTACTGAAATGACAAAAATATGAAATCACAGAGAAAAAAGTGCATAAGCTACTAACTAAAAAATTGTTGGGATGCTTCGGTTTGGGCACCCGGGCA